TAAGCCAATTTCTGAGCATCAGCCCAGTCCCTCAAGAAGTCGTCCGTGGTCTCAAATTGAACAGGCAATCCCCATTCTGGAATTTTAAATAAGGGGGTTTCAAGTACCCGAAGGACGGCTTACCTCCGAACCAAAGAGGACTGTTACCCAATACTTTGTCGTTTTGAACACGAGGGAGATCTTATTTCTATTGCCTGAGCGATCATGGCACAAGGCAGGGCGGTCGACCTACTGCATATGCTGGTAAGATAAGCGGTTGGGTTTGGATCCGCAACTCCCTGATACAAGGAAGGTCAGCGGAAGACAACGCAACATCAAGGAACTGCTCACCCCAAACCTGATGATGGATTAAATTAACTCGAAAATATACAACCAGGATAAACTCACACGTAGTACAGATGATTGTCATAGCCTTGCGGGCCCATTTGGGCGTCGGCAGGATTAGCAGGATTGTTGTTCTGCCAGTTGATGTCCATGAAACTACGCCAGAGGTCAAATCTGCCATCATGACACAAGGCTATGGCATACTTCGTGACGAGCGGGGTCTTCCTACGAGACAAACCGAAGATTCCGAGCTTCAGAAGGATCGGAACGGTATCTTGCAATACAGAACGGACTTCAGCGGTGAAAACGGCCGACGTCTGGATGTTGGGTAGCATTGCCGTGAAATTGCCGTTGGCCGGTGCTGGTATGGCGGGGAATCCGGGAGCCGGGACACCCAAAAGGAACTCTGTCGCTCGGACGACTCTCACAAAATTCTTCTGGAAGTCGCCATAACCGGGAGTCTGCGTGGCGTCCATGATAGGCTCGTTTACGGCCTCGATGGCGACTGCGTTGGCGAATGCTGGATCCACATGCGACAGGACGGTCATAACGGACGTCCAAATCAAAGCACGGTGGTAGTTGTACGGAGTCTAGGTACGTGCAGTCCGTAAGCCGTCGCAAATGAAAACAACGGGATAAGGTGTACGTAGAATTCAACGTCGTTTGTGCATCTGGTAGGGGTTTGTCTGTTATCACTGCAGGATTGGGTGAGAGTACGAACCTGCCGGCGAACATCTGTCCAGCCGTTTGAACACCTCAAACATCGTTTAGGTAATGAATAATTGGCAAGACAAGAGCTACACACCCGGAACAGCGTGGTGGTCCAAAATAGCAACAATCCCAGCTTTGTGGAGCTGCTGTAATCCTCGGCGCTGCGTACGATTATTGAAAAATTCGTAGCCACAGTAAATATTTTCCTCACCAGCTGGTCGAGCCCACCTCGTGGGTAGAATTCGGTTTTACGGTCAACCAAGGCTTCAATGATCCAATAGCCGAGCTAGGTGGCATGAGAAAAATACAACAAGGGTCATGCCACTCACGGGAATGCGAACTGTGTTTATCCCGGCATCGGCGAGAGCATCGACGTCGGGTTGGTTAAACCAACTCTCCCTACGGTAGCTGTGAATAGAGCATATATGTTTTACGAAAAACAAACCAATGTCCTTTGAATATCTTGTCCACAGTGTTCGGGAAAGCTTGCGCAAAGGCACTGTGGGCAGTAAGCAACAATTCCAAATAGATGGACGTTGAAGTTCATTTACAATTCGGTGGCAATGCATGTAGAACAATCTTCGCACTGCTGTCCCCCCATGTCCAGCCATTCTTGGGGCAGCATCCATGATTCTAAAACAAGCCTGTAGTGCGACAGATGAACAACGATGGCGATGACTTGCCCAGAAATAGCATACCAAGAACCCAAATTTACACCATAGATTTTGCTGGGCAGTCCAGGCAATCCAGGAGATTCCGAGTCGGCAAGAGCAGAAAGGAGGAAGGACAAGAGAGCAATGGACTGGGACAAGATGGCAGCAGGACGCATCGTGCAAGTCCGAAGCAGTGGACCGGTTCTGCTTCATGCCAGCTCAGTTATACCGCGGCATAAGACGCTCTAACTCCTCTGTGGGCCTCAGCTTGGGCCTACTTGCGACAGGTGAGGCGATAAGGGCAGCACTGGGGGACAAGTGACAACAAGAGCATGTTGGCGGGCGAAAAGTTTCTATCTGGGTCTACACCGGGCCACGGAACAAGGTCAGCCGACCATGTTCCACGCTCTGAGGACGTCTCAGAACGTTGCGCGGCGCGCGCGAAGGCAGAGCGAGGTTCCTCCAAGGTCGGAGATCATTGACGGCCGAGAGCCGATTTGGTTCAGCTCTTGCCTTATTCCTCACCGCGCCTTCAGTGCGCTGCGATGCGACCTACGTACCTCACCACCTAACACTGCAGATGGGATGACGACAGCTCCGTGGCCGAGGAGCTCCTATGAAGAAATTCAAAGCATTCTGCCTGAAGCTGATTCGAACCCAAAAATGACGTTGACCTTTTTGAAGTTTCGATGTCGTGTCCAGTCGCCATCACAAAGTTGCTCTCCGGACGCCGTGGGTCGCATCAGGAGTATCATGTGCACATGCCAAGTAATAGGCTTCACCAGCTGAACGGTGACCGAAGGACCACGCACGGCTGTACAAGGCACTAAAATAACATTCCAATTGGGTCCGTTCGATTCCATTTCGCGACGCGCAGTACAGAAGATCAGTTGATATGCCTACATGTCAGAATGCTGCATGGACTCGATGGCTATCCCTAGTTCTTGCTAGTCTGGTCTGCCACCGTTGCGGCCGCCTGCCACGACCGGGGCCGCCGCCACGGGGAAACGACGACGGCTAACAAAATGCGAGCCTCTCGTGACTTTCCGCTGATCCGTACGACCTGCTCTCATACCCCGCGGTCGTCTAAATTTATCTTGCGGTTGAGTACCCCACGTTCGTCTATATCTATCTTGCTGGCAGTACTGCCCCAATCTCATCAGAAAACAGTCAAAGCTCCAATTACTTGTCAGGCTTCTGTCCTCGAGTCTCCATGGGTCCCCAAAATATGTTTATAAGAAGGTTTCAGCGTTCCTTTCGAACTGTGGAATCCCTGCCAGCCTGTCCTTGAAATGGCGCCCCTTGCTGCGATTATCCTCGCTCTTGCTTCGTTTGCCACTGCGGCCCCGTCTCTGAGCGCGCGCCAGGCAATAACGTCTCTGAGCGCCGCGCAGATCAGCGCGTTCAAACCGTACTCGTTCTACGCAGCCGCAGGATATTGCTCGCCGGCATCGACTCTAGCATGGAACTGCGGAGGTCAGTGGCATTTCCCAGCAAAGCATAAAGAATTCATATCATTACAGCCAACTGCAACGGCGCGAACCCGGCATTTCATCCGGTTGCGTCCGGGGGCGACGGCGATTCTGTTCAGTTCTGGTATGTTGGAGTCGACTCGACTCTTGGTACCGTAATCGTGGCGCACCAGGGAACGGATCCCAGCGAGATGTGAGTTTTAAAAACTTGTTGCGCTTCTCGCGTGCCCTAAAATGTGCTAGCCTTGCTCTCGTCACGGACTCCGATTTTTTCTTGGGAACCCTGGATCCAACCCTATTCCCCGGCTTGAGCTCTTCAATCGAAGTGCACAGCGGGTTTAGAGATGAGCAGGCGAAGTGTGTGATCTTCGGCCATGTTATTTCTGAGGTGGACTCACGTTAGATGTGCAGGACTGCGACACAGATCCTGGCAGCTGTCCAGACTGCACTGTCAGGGTTTGGCGTCAATAAAGTGACTATTGTGGGCCACAGTCTAGGTAAGCCTTGTCAACAAACACAGTCGCAGTGATTCTGATTGGATCCCACCCACAATAGGCGGTGCTATCGCACTTATAGACTCTGTTTATCTCCCTCTCCACATTACCGGAGTGACTTTCCAAACCATCGTGTACGGATTGCCTCGGGTGTGTTATCCTTCGACTCAGAAATGACGATGATACTCAAATCAATTCGTCTAGGTGGGGAACCGGGCATTTGCAGACCGGGCAAGCATTGGGAGTACCGTGACCCACATCAACAACAAGTTCGTACCTATATTTCGTTTACGTTTATGAACAGCGGCTGATCATGCTACAGGGAGGACATTGTCCCCATTCTCCCAGGTGGGCTTTTTGTCCGCGCCTACCACGAACCCGTCTGAATGATTGTAGGAATGTTCCTGGGCTTTCATCACCCCACTGGCGAAGTCCATATCCAGGTCTGCCCCTCTTTACAACTCGTTATATCTGCCTGGCTGACATGTTCGGGCCAGGACTCGGGCGTTTGGGATGCTTGTCCAGGTAACGATGAATGATCTTCAAGTGTGCACCGTTTCGGTCATTAATCATACATTTAACCTCGCAGGGGAAGACAATTCAAGCGATCTGTGCACAACGGGTGCGTAGCATACTCTTGGGGTGCTTGCCGCAAGAACTGATTTTTTCTAGGCGATGTTCCCAACATATTCGAAGGCGACGAGGGCGACCATGATGGTGAGTTTCAGTTGTATAGCTTCGGCAGAAGTCTGATCAGCTTCGCAAGGCCCGTATGATGGGGTGGAGATGGGCTGCTAGCTTGAAGTATTGATGAGGGTGTAACGTTAACGGGCTGGTTTGGTAGTACAAAACATTGAATACCCATGGGAACAATGATTTTTTTTCTAAACACTAGTTTCTGAATGGATGGACCTCAAGGAGCGCCAGGCTGGACTTTTTTCCAATTGCAATATCGGGCGTAGGTTGTTTGAACGTCAACTTAAACGACAGTTGGAGGAGGACCACGCACATCGATATAACCAAACGCAAAATATATTACTTGAACTTGTGTAGTAAGGATGGACCGAAAGGGAAAGGAACGAAAGAAAAAACGAGATTTTAACGTGCATTGGCTTCCGCGCGCAAATGGGAGCAGCAAAGCCAAATGCGCGCGTACTAAGCCCGGGGCCCACGGCAAGGGAGCACGGGGTTGAAGCAAAGCTTCCAACCATCCCCGGGGAAGGAAGCGACCCACCTTCACTCACCCAAGGAGAATTGCAGTAAAGGGAATGGAAGGATGTGAAGTGCTCTCACCGAGATAATGGAAAGAGGTAAAAATCAAGGCAGTTTGTGCATCTGTTGGAAAATGGCTGAACCTGGAATCGAACTGGGGACCTCTAAGTCATTGTACCACTAGCGCTGTTTCCAGCTGAGGTATTCTGCCCATAGTCTGCAAGTAACAAATCCGTGCTTGGGCGCGAGACCTTGATGTGCGTGGCTCTTGAGGCTCTTGCAGCACGAGGACTTCGCGCAGTCTTGAGCAGTGTCCCACTGAGGTCTTGAGGCACGAGTACTTGACGTGCGTCGAGGTCTCGAGCAGTCAGTCTCCCACTGAGGTCTTGAGGCACGAGTACTTGATGTGCGTCGAAGTCTTGAGCAGTCTCCCACTGAGGTCTTGATGCACGAGAACTTGACACGCATCATGCGGCTCTTGAGGATCCTGCTGCGCGAGAACTTGGCGCGTCTTGAGCAGTCTCTTACTGAGATCTTGATGTGCGAGACCTTGATGCGCGTCGACTTCTTGAGAAGTGTCCCACTGAGGTCTTGCACTTGATGAACCGAGGCCTTGAGCGGTGTCCACCGAGGACTTGAGCAGCCTGAAGCATGAGGAGAAATAAGCCAGTTGAAGTAACGAGGCGTCAACAAGTTGAAGGTCGAGCAGTGAGAGGTGTCCTGAGGCGGAGGGAGCAAATTCCTACTAGGCGAGGCATCAAAATGCTGAGATCGAGTAGCTGGGGGCGTCCCGAGGCAATGGGGGTAATTCTGTACTAGGCGAGCATGAGAACGAGCGAAATTGAGTGTCAGCACGATAGCAGACTCGCCTAACGGCGAACAGGAACCCGAATAGGAGGAGGTTGGAGAGAAGGGAGAAGGGCCAAAGGCGAGGGAAGGGAAGGAAGGGAAGTATCAATTGGGAGATGATGGGAGTAGGGAGAGAGGAGGGAGGGTAACGAACGTGACAAGTGGGTGACCCTTTATACCACCGCGGGAACTTCCGCATTGTGAATTAGGGCAGGCGGGGCTAGCTAACCACGGCGAGGAAGTCAGCGACGGTCGAGCGAACTGCGACGAGAAGGTGCGTACCGAGCGATGCACTGAGATATGCGACCTCGCTGAATACAAGGTGTACGCGTTGCGAGTTACTCACTAGGCGCCGAGCAGTACACGACTCGCGAGAGAAATCGAGGAAGATGGGGAAGAAGCCCGAGAGAGAAGGTGGTGGGAGACGGGAGCGGATGAGTTTGGATGAGTTTGTTTGGAAAAGCCGTCGTATTTATATACTGCATGGAACGGCATTTGAGGTTTGTACAAAAATTTCGATCGTTGCGCTCCCAAAGATGGTCCGTTACAACTGCAGCAAACTGAAGGCATTGCCGGCAGCAACCACCACAGCGGATAGCTAGAAGTGGGAAACCGAGGGTGTTGTGGCTTGAGAAGGGAGTCGCGTCGATCACATGACCGTGATTCTTCGAGTCGCGCGGCTCTTTGTCAGTAGCAGCCACAATGCCAGCCAGCCATCCATTGACAAGCTCCGCTCATGCGAGCCAAAAGCGGCGGTTCTTGAACCGAGCCATACTTGCGTCCACGTCTACTTTTAGTTCAACTTTTCCAAAATCGCGGTCGACTCGCCCCAGTGTCGTTGAATCTACTGAAGCCAATATCGCTTTACTTTGACGTTCAGAACGAGGTTGCGGGTAGTAGGTGTAAGAGACGGCCCATATCCAAAGAGTCGTGGTCCAAGCTGGTCCAAGCAATGCAGGCGTGCGAGTATAAAATGCGCGGATCGAAGTACATCTTTTTTTCTGCCACTCATCAAGCAAAAATCCAGTGAAACGGACCAAGCACATAAATGCCTCCGGTAAGCTTCCCTTCTAGAATATCCCAGCGAAGCTCACAGGCTATCGACATTAGAGAAGGAAAGCTGCTACGACAAAGGCTGCGCCGACGACGACCAAAAAGTTGACTACCACTAGCAAGACCGAAGCGAAACAGCACACTTCGAAGCGCGCGCACTCACCCCATAGCGATGCGCAAGAGGAGATAGACACACCGGACGAGGGAGACGGGCGACCCCAGAAGCGCGCCAAGAACGCGGCGACTCCGATCGAGGTAAAACCTCCAAGTATTTTTTTCTTCTTCCGCGGGTGTTTAGCATACCATTGCAGGCAGAAAGCACTCCTGAGCCTGAGGCAGCCGTTGGGCCCATTCCATCCGGTAAATTCGATCTCTACGGGATGGAGCTCCCCTTCCTCGCAAAGGTCTACCTCCCACCAGGCCAAAGCGCGTCTACCCCCCAGTTCGACGCGCTTTACGACAAGATCCTGACCTACCAAGCCAAGCCAGACTCCACGGCGCGCTGTGTCATCCCGGACGCGCCGTTCATCCGGCAAGGAAGGCTCTCCAGCGCCATCTTCGAGGACCCCATGGAAGAAATGCCGTGGGATATTGCGCTCGACGATCTGCGTCTGGCCGACCCCCTGGTATTCACGCCCGCCGAACGCAGCAAGTTCGCCTCGCCTGAGCCGCAGAGCAACTGTGGGCCGGGCATTCAGGGGCGGACTGTGCTGGTGGAAGACCATTGTGGCGTTGCAAGCGCGGAGGGTGTATTCCGCATGCACCGTGCATGGACCGGGGAGCGGGGAGGCAAGGCCGTGGAGCTGTGGGAGGGTTACTTATCGTTTGATGTGGTGCACAGTGGGTTATATAGAAGGAAGGGCCATGGTTCGGGCCGGAAGCTTGGGATAGCATTTTGGGGGGTGAGAGGGAGGAGGGATGAGAATGGGAAGGAGATTGGGTTGGATCTGGAGTAGGACGACGGTCATACTAATCTCAATTCTTGGTTTATCTCAAAGACGATAATTATACAGCAAGCATTAGACTACTCGTATGTGTTGAACAAACTCAGCAATTTGCTCCGGTCTATTTACATGAATGCCCGAAGTTAAGCAAAGGCGGGGCCGACGACCCAGCTGATGTCGTCGATGAACGAGGTGGTCGAATCGAAGGTGTCCGCGCCGCCGTTGCTCGCGGCGTAGAGGAGGGCGTTGAAGTGTCGGAAGTAGTGTGCCGGGAAAGACCACGAGCGGATCGAGTTGCCCTGCCCGTTGAGGCCCGCTCGCGGGCACCACGTCGCATCCTCGTGGAACAGCTTCGAGCCGTCGTTAGCATTCACGAGCAGCTCGAAGTTGGAGTGCCGGATGAAGCTGCCCGGCGTGTCGCGGGACTCGAACGACACACATGCGCTGTTCCCGAGGCCCGTAACGACGTTCCAGCTCGCAGACAGCTTGAGTGCGTTGGTGTCGCTCGAGGTGACTACCTGGGTGTTGACCGTTGCGCCGGTGTGGGCGATGTACCGAGTCGTGCAGCATGACGTCGTTGCGCGGAACGACACCGTGGAGCCTACGCTGATGGCGGGCCCACTCGTCAGGGAGGCGGCGGCGTATTTAGCCGCTACGATGTTGGCCTGCACTGCGTTCTCGGTTGCGTCGGACGGATAGCCGGTGGTCATTACGCCCTCGTAGAATGTGCCTTGTGCGCTGTTGCTGTTGTCCCCGCCTATCCCGAGGATGATGGCGCCCTCCTTCTTCATCGGGTTGTACCCGCCGCTGGGGCGCGCGCCGCTGTAGAACGTCGAGAGCGAGCCGGAGGCACCGTTCCCGCCGCGGACCGCCCACTGATTGCCTGGCTCGCCTTTCACGACGGCCGTGACGAAGCGTGAGGTGATCGTCGGGTTGGAGGGGTTGACGGCCGTGTTGGGTCCGGTGAACAGGCCGTTCTCGAGGTCAAGCCAGAACCCAGGGACCGCTGCCGCCGCCCGTGCCGAAGCCCGTACCAAGGCCAAAGTAGATGGCCTCCATGTGCCCGTTGCCCGTGTCGTCCGCTGAGGTCTCCGCATTACCATAGTCGAAACAGCAGCCTCCGTTATAATGCGTGCCGTCGAGGACCGCGTACATGCCCTCCGCAGCGTCGCCCTTGAAGAAAATCAGTACACGGATGTATGGCATGAGAAAGAAAGCAGACTGACCACGGCGATGGCATTGGTGGCATCGTTGCGGTAGCCATCGCCAGGCGCGATGAAGACGCCGTACGCCTTTTGTCCGTTCAGCGTGACCGGTGCGGCATCCGCGGCGGACAAAGTGTCGAAGCCATTAGGTTCGGTACCACTGGCGGCGCCGCCGGGGGGAGCCTGCGTGAGATGGTTGCCACGACCGGACTGGTCGAAAAGGGTGGTGATTACACAGGTTGTGCTGGCGCAGAAGGAGTCTTGCGCGGCGGCGTTGGCGACACCGCCCGCAGACAGCGGGCTGATGTTAGTCGTCGCACCGTCAGAGCCCCGTTTAATTTGGTAGAGGGAGCCAGAGTATGCGCTGAATAGCGCCCGAGTGGTGCTGTGGGCGGCGACGCAGGGAGTGCCTCCGGAGGCGTATATGTCGCAAGGCCCCGCCGCTACTAGCGTAGCGACAAGACACAACGCGAGGAGTGAGGAGAACTGGGACATTGTTGTGAGCGCTTCGTAAGTGGGGAGCGGGTTTAATACGTTGAGCAGCCTAACGTCAACGGTCACGCGGCCCCGGTCGTCCACCGTTGGAGGGGGACAAAGCACCAGCGTAGACGAAGATCACACGCGGATCGACGAAGATGGCATTACCTGGTGACGCAGCGGCGGGGAGGTAGATTGGGAGGAAGGCTCATCAAGGCTCATCATGCGCCTGAGAACATGTGGAAAATCTGGGAACTTTGTTGTATATAATTCCATTGGGCTCCGACCACTTGTGCAAGAACGACTCGCAGTTGGGCCACGGGGTCGTTTCGAACGAGAGGGCGTATGGGTCGGGGTGATGTAGGATGCAGGAACACCGAACAGATTGTCGCCAGGTCGTTGAAGTGCGAAACTTGGTGCTCGAGGACGCCAATGTCCTCCAAGGTGATATTTGGGAAGTACTTCGAGTAGTCAGCGAGCAGAACCATGTTACCACAGTCTTGCGGCGCAAAGCAGTTGAGGTTTATATGGAGGACCGAGCTTTACTATGCAGTGCAGAATCCAGCGCTACCTTGGAGTCCGCAGCTCGGCGGATAGTTTGATTCAACCTTCCAACTTGCTCAAAAACTCGATTGAAGCAGGAGCTCATGATCAACTGAAAAATCCGAACGCGAGGCGGCTGA